GGGGGGGGGGACCGGGGGGGGCCTGCGGAGACAGGCGGAGGAGGCCGGGGGAGACGGGGGGAGGCCCCGGGAGACCGGCGGGGGGGGCCCGGGGAGACGGGCGGGGGAGGCCCGGGGAGACGGGCGGGGGCCCGGGGGCTGCGGCCACACCCCTCACGCCTCCTCTCCTCGCCTGCAGCCGACTTCGGCTTTGCCCGGTACCTGCAGAGCAACATGATGGCGGCCACGCTCTGCGGCTCCCCCATGTACATGGTAGGTGGGCCACCCCAGCCCCTGCTGCCCCGTCCTGTTGGAAGGGGGGTCCGCGGTGGCGTTCCCTCCCGTGTCCATCCTGTGGCCTCACTCTGGGTGGCAACCGTCGTGGCTGTACCGTTTCCTGCCACGTCTGTGGCCTTCGGCTGGCGTGTGTTATGATTGGCTGGCGCCTGGCTGGAGCCAGACTTTGCTCAGCGCACGATCAGCGTCCATTCTTGCCGTCACGCCGACTGCACTGTACCCCCGCAGGCCCCCGAGGTCATCATGTCCCAGCACTACGACGGGAAGGCGGATCTGTGGAGCATCGGTACCATCGTGTACCAGTGCCTGACAGGGAAGGCGCCCTTCCAGGTGAGGCCCCGGCAGAGGGCGTGGCGCGCTCAGCCTTGCAGCCTCCTCTCGCCGGAGTGCCATGGCCGCCCAGCTCCCCACCATGCAGTCACTTCAGGGCCGAGGCCGGAGTCTCCACTGGCTCTGGGGCGTACCTGTGTGTGTCCACGTGTATGTCTGAACCAAGTTTCGTGGCCTCCCTCCTGCCCATTCCAGGGCTGGCATGACCCACCAAATTGGTACCAGGACCCCAAGCTCTGGGGTACACCCTGCATTTGGAAGGCAGTGGCTTGCCGTGTGCTGGACCCCAGAGGGTCCAGGGCCCTGAGCCCGTGCCGCAGGCCCTCGCGTCCCGTACTGGCCTCGTGGACCGACCCGGCAGCTCTCCACTGTCGCCGGCTTGCCCCAAAGTGCCCTCTGCCTGCCCGGTGACCTAGGCTGCCCCCATCACCGCTCCCCGCACCTCCCTGCCTGCCGTTTCCTGCACGTGAGCAAGTGACTAGTGGAGGGCTGTCCCCTGCTGGCATGTTGGCCTTGGGAAGGCAGGGGCTGTCTTGCTCTTGGCTGTACCCCCCATGCCTTGAACAGTGCCTGGCACACAGCAGTGCTGAGCGCGTGACACATGAACAGGCGTGTGGGCGGGGCCCACTTGGGGGGGGCGAGCTTGTTCTGGGGCCCTTTGCTGGGGTGGGGTGCACGGGCCACATTTTAATTTTAAGAGGCACGTGACCGGTCACACCAGATACCCAGGATGCACCTGCAGCAGGTGGGAAGGGGGCCCAGCCAGCATCCTTGCTCTGGGCCCCCCTGGCCCCCCTGTGTGGTCCCCGTGGTTCCACAGCCTGGCTGGGGGGAGGGGGGCCCCTTCCTTGGAAGCATGCGAGGGCACTCAGTGTTTGGACAGACAGGCTGGCAGTGCTGGACCAGGGGCCTCTCGGGAGACAGAGGCTCTGAGCGGCTAGTGGCCGAGAGCAGCGGGGACGCTCACACCTGGCCCCCTGGCCCTCACTTCCAGGCCAGCAGCCCCCAGGACCTCCGCCTCTTCTATGAGAAGAACAAGACGCTGGTCCCCCCGTGAGTGCCTCTCCCGCCAGACACAGACACCCCGCCCCCCCCCCCCCCCCCCCCCCGCCCGCCGCGCCCCTCTGAACCAACCTGACCCGCTGGGGTCAGACACCACCCCCCCGCCCCCCCGCCCCCCGCCCCCGGGCAGGCTGCCCTGTCAACATCGTGCCCTGTGCCCCCAGCATCCCCCGGGAGACCTCGGCCCCGCTGAGACAGCTGCTCCTGTCTCTGCTTCAGCGCAACCACAGAGACCGCATGGACTTCGGTGAGCACCGGCTGGCTGGCCCGCCTCCTCGCGCGACAGGCCTGGGGGTCAGGGCGCTCTGGCTTGCGCCCCGCTCGCAGGGGCCCTGTGGCGGCAAGTGAGCGGGTTTCCCGGGGCCCGCAGCTCCTTTCCCAGCAGCGGAGATGGTAAAATCCCCGGTTTTGCGATGGGCAGCACTGCTGGGAAAACCGTGGGCAGGGTGGGTGGATCCGGGCCTGGGCCGCGCCGGGGGCACCAGATGTGTTCAAGAGCTGCCAGCTGGGGCTCTGCCTCCCTCCGTTCTTGGCGTGAGGCAGCGGAGACAGGGCCCCAGGGCACGGTGGGGCCTGGCCTCGATCCTGGGAGCCCTGGCGTCGGACCCTCCTGAGCCTGGGCCCATCCCTCCTCCTGCAGATGAGTTTTTCCATCACCCCTTCCTTGAGGCCAGTGCCGCTGTGAAGAAGTGTGAGTACCCGGTGGGATTGGAGAGGCGAGGGCGGGCCCTCGCGCAGGTCCCCTCCCGGTCCCCGGGTTCCTCCGGGGCGGGCTGGGTCCCGAGCCGGCAGCTGTGCTCGGCGTGGGGTTGACATGGGCAGGGTGGGAGTGGAGCATCCCATGCTGACGGGTGCTGACCTGTGCCCTCTGCCAGCCCCGCCCGTGCCCGTGCCCTCGTACCCAAGCTCGGGGTCCGGCAGCAGCTCCAGCAGCAGCTCCACCTCACACCTGGCCTCCCCACCGGTGAGTCACGCAGGGTGGCGGGCTGCGGGCTGTGGGCTCCTCTCACCTCGGCTTCGGGGCGTGCAGGCGTCCGCAGGAACCTCCTCGGGCTCCCGCCCTGCCCCAGCTCACGCCTTTATTTCTGCTGTGTCGTCTGGTCCCGTCACACCAGACTCAGAAACGTTCTGCTTGTGAATGTGGCAGAGTTAGAAGCGGGTGGAGGCCTGTTTCAGGGTCCCTGTGTCCCATCGGTCTCTTCAGCACCGTGTCAGCTCCACGCCTGCGTGTGCACGGGTGCGCGGGTGGCCACGGGTCGGGGCCCCGTGTCCTGGGAGCCCACCCACCCCGCAGCCCGCGTCCCCGGCACAGGGCTGGGGTGAGGTCTGCCGAGGTTGTGCTCGGGAGCGGGGGCACTGGGGCTTGAACCTCCCTTGGGCTGTCTGTCCGTCCGTCCGTCCTGCCAGGCGGGGGCCAGGGCCCGGCTGGCGGCAGAGAGCACGGCTCTCTCAGGCCTGAAGGTGGACCTTCCAGACACCCCACCTCCCGAGCGCTGTGCAGGGCCACGGGGGGCAGCGGGGGAGTCGCTTGACATGGGGCCTCTGGAGCCTTTGGGGGCCAAGCGGCTCCTCGTGCTGGGCAGCAGGGGGCTCCGTGAGGTGGCCGCTCCTGTGGGGAGGTCACCGGAGATGGAGTGGCCTGGGGAGGGAAATGTGCAGAGCCTGTGCCTCGTCCCCACGGCCCCTCCCCCAGGCCCTGGGGCCGGGTCTCAGAGGCCTCCCCTCTGACCCCCAGTCCCTGGGGGAGGTGCAGCAGCAGCTCCAGAAGACCCTGACGTCCCCGGCCGAGGCCGCCGGCTTCCTGCAGGGCTCCCGGGACTCGGGCGGCAGCAGCAGGGACTCGTCCTGTGACACTGATGACTTTGTCATGGTCCCGGCCCAGCTTCCAGGTCAGGGGGCCACCAGGCAGGGCTGGGCAGGGAGATCGCTGCAGACATGCCAGATGGAACCCCTAAGAAGGGGCTTCTGGAAGCTTCTACCCCACATCAGCCTGGCCAAAGAGAGCTGAGTCCTGCCCGCCGCGGAGCGTCCAGGGCGCCTGCTCCGAGTGGGGAGCTGCTGCCCTCGCTGTGTTTGCTGAGCTGCAGCCCCCCACCCACCCCCTCAGAGCTCTGTTCTCGGGTCCTCAGTTCCCCTCGCGACCCCGGCTGCTGGCACCTCTTCTCTCACGGCCTTGGCCGCCCTGAGACTCCCGGGACGGGGCTGGGTGGGAGCGGGCCCAGGTGTCCGACGGGCCACCCTGAGCCTGTCGGCGTGGCTCCGCAGTGGAGGGGAGGCCCCGTACCCAGCCACTGGCAGCTCGAGGAGGGCAGCGGGAAGGTGGGGACCCAGTGGTCCTGGAGGAGGGGTGAGGCCCAGACTGGGAGGTGTGGACACCCAGCCTGGGGTTAGCTGAAGGCTGGTGTGTGGGGAGGGTACCAGGGTCTCCGAGTGCCGTGAGGTCCAGACAGGCAAAGGGGGTTGTCAGTGCAAGCGACAGAAGTGGGGACGGGAGAGTGCTGGGCTCGCCGTGGCCCGGGCCCGCCCAGGAAGAGGTGCCTGGGCCCAGCCTCACCCGTGTCCCATCCACAGGTGACCTGGTAGCCGAGGCGGTCGGTGTCAAGCCGCCACCGGACAGCCTGATGTGCAGCGGGTAAGCCCCCAGCCCGAGACCCGCTGGCTCTGCGGGGAGGGCGATGCCTGCTCTCAGGCTGTCCCCTGACCTGCCTGGGTCAGACAGTTTGGGAAGTGCCGAGTCTGCTGTGCCCAGTGCAGGACAGAGTCCCAAGGAGGGGCCAGGGTCTGCGCTGGTTTGGCCTGAATGTGAGGCCCTGCCGTCCGCCCTGTCCCCGCCAGGAGCTCGCTGGCGGCCTCTGCTGGCCTGGAGAGCCGCGGCCGGACCCCGTCTCCTTCCCCGCCCTGCAGCAGCTCCCTCAGCCCCTCAGGGTAAGCGGGGCCCGGGACGCAGTCAGCATCACAGCGCCCCAGCCCCAGTCGTATCCTGCAGGAAGCGGTCATGTCCAGAGGCCCTGCCTTCATTCAGCCCCAGCAGGGTGCCAGGGCCCTGTGGGTGGTCCAGCGGAAGGAAGGGATTGTGGTGGAAGGGATGCAGGGTGGGCTTGGGGCCCAGGGGTGGTTACCGGAACCACCAGAGACCAGTGTCGTCACTCCCTCCTTGCCTCCCAAGCTTGCGGGGTGAAGCGGGTGGTGACTCCCAGTGCCAGCAGGAGCTGGGCAGCCAGAAGCCACCTGGGTGCAGAGAGCGGGGGGCCCGGGGTACCAGGGAAGCGGTGCTGGCCGTGTGCAGAAACAAGGAAGCAGGTGGCCCGGAGCGGCCTCTGCCCCAGGATGTTAGGGCCTGGGGTTCAGCCCAGCGCCCCAGCTGCGGTGACCCCAACCTCTCTCCCCACACAGCCGGGCCGGGGCATCCTCCAGCAGCAGGTGCGGGGCCTCGGCCCCCATCCCAGTCCCCACTCAGGTGCAGAACTACCAGCGCATTGAGCAGAGCCTTCAGTCGCCCACCCAGTACCAGGCGGCGCGGTGAGTGCACGGGCCCCCCGTGGCCAGGCACATCCTAGAGAACAGTAATGAGGGCCCCATGCAGCCCACTTGGATGGTGCGGGGCCATCTCACACACACGACTGTGCAGACTGCACGCTGCGTGACTGTCAGCGCCACCGCTCTGTGGACATACTGGCACTCAAGCTGTACCGTGACTGCTTTCTGGTAGATGTCAGTGAAGTGTCTTGTGTCCACAAAACTGACTTCGATTTTTGTAAGTTTCAGAAGAGGAGAGGGCACCTTTTTTTGTAATTCACAGAAGCCCCTGTGGGTTGGGGGCTGCCCTGGCAGGGACTGGCGGCTCCTACCGGGTTGTGGCTGCTGGTGAGGCCCGTTATTTGAACGGAGGGGGACAGACATGTGGCATGCTGGTGGCCCTGGCCAGGCGTGGCTGGGGCCCTCACACCCTGTGCCTGCTTGCGCCCGCAGGTCCTCTGCCATCCGCAGGTCAGGCAGCACCAGCCCGCTGGGCTTTGCACGGGCCAGCCTGTCACCCCCGTCTCACGCCGAGCATGGAGCCGCCCTGTCCAGGAAGTTCTCCCTCGGTGGGGGCCGGCCCTACACGCCGTCTCCCCAGGGTGAGCCTGCACGCCGCCGGTGGACCCAGCCTCGGAGCTGGGACTGGGAGTCTCCACGCGGGGGGCGGGGGAGGGACTCACTCTCTGTCCCACATTGACCTTGGCAACCCCTCTTGCCCCCAAGTTGGAACCATCCCCGAGCGGCCAGGCTGGAGCGGGGCGCCCTCCCCCCAAGCAGCCGAGATGCGGGGTGGCAGGTCCCCTCGTCCAGGTAGGTGCAGCTCCGGCCCAGTGGGTGTGCAGGTGGAGCTGGGGAGGGGCGGAGGAGCTGGGCTGACCTCCCTGGGCTGGCCTGTCGCTGCTTGGGATAGTGGCCGTTTTCCTGGTTCACAACTGTCATCTCTTCTGCATTAAAAGAAGGCAGGAAACTCCGTGAGACTATTTTAACGAGCTTAAGCCTTCAGCTTACGGAGGCCCACTGTGGGGCTCAGATCCCACCCCGACCCCGCCATGCTGTGTCACCTCGCACAGGTGTCTCAGCTCCTCTGTGCCTGTTTCCTCAGGTGCGCAGTGGAGCGTAGGTGCAGTGCGGCACAGGGGGCCACGAGGGTAAAGGGAATCCTGAGCAGGCGTGGGGGTCTCTGTACACTGTCCTGGTTGGTCGTGTGGGCGGGGCCAGGCAGTCCTTGGGACAGCTGTGATTGGGCCCGTCCTGTCCCGCCCTAGGCTCCTCGGCACCTGAGCACTCTCCCCACAGCGCCGGGCTGGGCTGCCGCCTGCACAGTGCCCCGAACCTGTCCGACCTGCGTGTGGTCCGTCCCAAGCTGCCCAAGCCCCCCACGGACCCACTGGGGGTGGCGTTCGGCCACCCGCAAGCCAGCCCCCCGCAGCCCTCCCACGGGCTGCAGTCCTGCCGGCCCCTGCGCGGCTCGCCCAAGCTGCCCGACTTCCTGCAGCGGAACCCCCTGCCCCCTATTCTGGGCTCCCCGACCAAGGTAACGGGGCCACGCGTCTCCAGGGGGGTGGGTGGGGAGTGGCTCTGTATGTGCTCGGGCCACCGGGCTTTCTGCCTGGTGGAATTCCCACAGGACCTGAGGGGCCCCGGAAGCCAGAGGCAGGGCTGGTGTGCTCCAGCACAGCAGCGCCTGCCCTCTGTGCTGAGACCTCTTGCACTGGCTGGTGGCTAGATCCATGTCTCCCCGTTCACATGTGGGGTGGCCACGTCCCCCTGACGAAGACTGGCTCCCAAAGCCAAAACACCTGCTCTCTGGCCCTTGACCGGAAGTGTCCCGACCCTGGCCCAGCATCCAGAGCCCCAGAGAACCCAGGCTGCCACCATGGGCACATTACTTAGCTCATCCCTTGCCTCAGTCTTCCTGTCTGTGAAATGGGGCCAGAAACCTGCAGCTACCTTGTGGTGTCTCTGTGAGGGCATAGGTACACACGTGCATGGCTTGTGTCGGACGCGTGCGTCTGCGTGTATCGCTGTTCTCCAGCACAGGGTGGCGTCAGCCTTCACACCTTTGCTGTGAAGACCTGGGTCGTGGAAGTTTGGGGTTTTGCGGCGTGGGGCCCTGCAGACTCAGGCCAGCGCTGCTGACCCCATTGAGATGTTAATGTCACCGTGGCGGGTCGTTCTCAGCACTTAACCTGCCCCTCCTAGGCCGTGCCCGCGTTCGACTTCACCAAGACCCCCAGCTCCCAGAACTTGCTGACTCTCCTGGCCCGGCAGGGTGTGGTGATGACGCCGCCTCGGAACCGGACGCTGCCCGACCTCTCTGAGGCGGGGCCCTTCCAGGGGCAGCAGCTGGGCCCCGGCCTGCGGCCCACCGAGGACACCAAGGGCCCCTTTGGCAGGTGAGTGGGTGGGGATTCCCCCGACGTGGCCTGCAGGAGGAGAGACCCAGCCCTGCCTGCTGTCTGCGGGCACCTCACTCCCTCTTCAACCCCTTCTGAGCCTCAGTTTGTGCGTCTGTTCAATGGGTGACAGTAACTGCCCGGGGTGGATGGGAGGACCGGGTGGCCAGCACAGTCGGGACAGGCTGGGCATGCTGACCAGGCTGTGGGGCCCCCAGACCCTGCCTGGGGGAGCCGGGGGCCGGCCCTGGGCAGCGGGTGGCCTGGTGCCTGGGTCTCTGGATCCCCTGGGTGGTGCAGGGCACGTGTTCACCACCCTTCACCCTGCAGGTCCCTCAGCGCCGGCCGCCTCACGGATCTGCTCCTTAAGGCTGCCTTTGGGACGCAGGCCCCTGACTCAGGCAGCGTGGACAGCCTGCAAGAAAAGCCCATGGAGACCGGTGTGCAGGGGGCTGCCAGGAAGCGTTCTGGGAAGTGGGGGCGCCCACGGCGGGAAGACCCTGAGCCCCTCCTCTTGCTCTCCCAGGGCCGTCTGCTGGCTTCGGAGGGAACCTGCACCCGGGAGCCCGTGCTGGGGGCGCCGGCAGCCCTTCCCCCGTGGTATTCACGGTGGGCTCGCCCCCCAGCGGGACCACACCGCCCCAGGGCCCCCGTGCCACCGTGTTCTCAGGTGAGGACCGTCGCTGGCCTCGCGGCTGCGGCGGATCAGCAGCCCGCGCCATCCGTCAGGAAGCGGGAGGGGCCCTCGCTGTAGAGTCAGGAGCTGAGCCGGGTGCTACCCTTACGTGAGGCCCTGGGAGGGTCCTCCTTGGAGGCTTGGGGGCACGGCTCCCACAGGCAGGCCCCTGAAGCCCTGGCCCTGGACTCCAGGGTGCCCCTGCAGTGGGCGGGGGCCCGGGAGGGGTGAGGCCTCCGCTGGGGCGCCTGCTCGCAGAGGGGCAGGAGTGGAGCGGGTGGGGACCGGCTCTGTGTCACAGAGCGGCGGAGGCCTGATGGGGAGGGCGGCCGGCCCTCTCCCCACAGGGGGCCCCTCCAGCCCCCTCGGCTCGGCAGGCTCCTCCTCCGCCCGTCACCTGGCGCCCGGGGCCTACGGCGAGGCCCCCCTCGAGGTACCCGCCCCCGGCCACTGCCGCAGCTTTGCCGACCCCGTTGCCGCCAACCTGGAGGGGGCCGTGACCTTCGAGGCCCCCGACCTGCCCGAGGAGACCCTCATGGAGGTGAGGGCCGGCGGGGGCAGGCGCCTGGCCCAGCGTGGCGTCCGGGCAGGGCTGGTGGCGGTGCCGAGGTGCGTCCCTCAGTGGCCCCGTCTCCCCAGCAAGAGCACACGGAGATGCTGCACAGCCTGCGCTTCACGCTCGGCTTCGTCCAGCACGTCCTGGAGATCGCGGCCCTGAAGGGCAGTGCCAGCGAGGCGGCCGGGGGGCCCGAGTACCAGCTGCAGGAGAGCGTGGTGGCTGACCAGATCAGCCTGCTGAGCCGCGAGTGGAGGTGGGTGTACCCAGCGGGGCCCCGCGGGGAGGCAGCGGGGGTGCGGGCCCTGCCCCTGACGCGTCCTTGCCGCCCTCCAGCTTCGCGGAGCAGCTGGTGCTCTACCTGAAGGCGGCCGAGCTCCTCTCCTTGGGCCTGCAGACTGCCATCGACCAGATCCGGGCCGGCAAGCTCTGCCTGTCGTCCACCGTGAAGCAGGGTGAGGGCAGCCTTGGCCGGTGGCGGCGGCGGCAGCGGCAGCAGCAGCGTTCGGGGCATGAGACCCTGAGCTCATGGCAGGGGAGTCGGGGAGGGAGGGATAGCTATCTCTGGGAGAAGGTCAGCGAGGAAGAGGTGATGAGGGAGGCCTTCCTGAGGAGGTTACCTGGTGCAGGCCCAGCCCGGGGAGGGATAGTGGGGGCGGGGGGCATGTGCAAAGGCCCTGTGGCAGGGCCCCCATGGGTCTGGGGCGGGAAGGCGCAGCGTGAGTTGCTGGAGCAGAGCACCTAGGAGGTGGGGTCGGACAGCGCCCCGGGGATGGAGTGAGGGGCTTTTGCCTGCTGGTCGCGTGGGTTCCCTTCCTGGGGGCTGGCCTAAGCTGCCGGGGTGCCTCCCACAGTGGTGCGGAAGCTGAACGAGCTGTACAAGACGAGCGTGGTGTCCTGCCAAAGCCTGAGCCTGCGGCTGCAGCGCTTCTTTCTAGACAAGCAGCGGCTCCTAGACCGCATCCAGAGCGTCACCGCCGAGAAGCTCATCTTCAGCCACGCGGTGCAGACAGTACGACGGGCAGGGCCCCCGTGGGGCAGGGCAGGGAGAGCGGGCTGAGGAGCCGGCAGGGGCGGGTTGACGGCCACAGCTCTGCCGGATTTCAGGGGGCATCGCTCCCGGGGTGGGAAGTTCCACTACTCTGTCCCCTCAGCCAGCAAATGTCACCCGGGCCCCTCCAGCCCTGGTGGGGAGCCGGGAGCTCACCTGGGCTTCTGCCTCGCTCCACGGCCCAGGCATGTCCCTCCCTGAAACTCAGGTTCCTTACCTGGAAAATGGGGAACCTGGTTTTCAAGGCTCTTAGCAGGTGAGTTGGTTCCTTCTTTAGAGGGAACCAACGCAGGCAGCCCAGCTGGGAGCTACGGCGTGAAGGCAAGAGGGGCTTGGAGGGGCCCTGCTCAGTACTCTGCGTCTGTTGCTTTGGGGTCCTTGTGCCCAAAAAGTGCTGCTTCTGAGGCAATGCCTGTTTTTGAGAAAATTCACTCATGCAGTAAAAACACAGCCCGAAGAGACGTTCGGGAACAGTTGGGCTCCTCGTCCCCGAGCTCCCCCTCCCCCAGGGGTGACCATCACTGACAAGACCGGGACCGAGGGAGTGCTCTGCCTGGTGCGGGTGGCCGGTCGCCTGCCCTGTAACCCCGGCTGCCTGCGGCGAGCAAGCCTCTGTCGAGACTGCGCGTGACCTGGCAGCGCCCACAGTGTGCTGCCCTGTGGCTCGTGCGGCCATCAGCCCTGGGTCCCCCGTCTCTGTGGAGGGCAGTTGGGCCCAGCCTCCACCCTCACCCGGCAGGTGCAGTCGGCCGCCCTGGATGAGATGTTCCACCGCCGGGAGGACTGTGTCCAGCGCTACCACAAGGCCCTGCTGCTCATGGAGGGGCTGCAGCAGATCCTCTCGGACCAGGCAGACGTGGAGAACATCGCCAAGTGTCAGTGTCCGCTGGGCCCCTGGGTGCGGGGGCGGGAGGGGGCAGCCGCTGCCTGCTCACTGTGGTGCCCACCCCCCCTCCCTCCCTCGCTCCAGGCAAGCTGTGCATCGAGCGGAGACTCTCGGCCCTGCTGTCCGGCATCTGTGCCTGACCTCCTGGAGGCCCGGCCCACAGCACCCAACGGGCCTGGACCTTCGCTGCCTATCCATGGGGTGGGGAGCAGCGTGCTGGCCGGACTTGAAGGGACAAGCCCACGGCCGTGACACCACTCGCTGGTGCTGGGGAATGGACCGTGGCTCCCCACCCAGCGTCTGGAGCCAGGCCTCAAACCGCGTCTCTGTCTCCTGGGCTCCGCGGCCGTGGACTTCAGGGCGCTGGAGGGCCCCGCACAGAACCTCAACGTAGGCCAGTCCCCTGGCCTGGCTGACGGGCAGAACTCCCTGCCCAGCCGGCAATCTGAACTTCTCTCCCAGCTGCCTCGATGGCAGGTGGGGATGTGTGGGCATCCCCTGCCCCCGCCCAGACCCCAGGGCTGTCTCGCTGAGGACAAGCAGAGGCCCTGAGACCGTGATGCCCACTCAAGCCAAAGCCGCCAGGCCTGCCCAGCGGATCCACCCAGCAAAAGGTGTGTCCTCCTGGCTCCCACCCCTCCCTCCCCTGAGACCACCACCCAGCTTTGTGAATCACCCAGCACTTTATGCAGGCGGACTGGACCCGGGGCTGCCGCTCGGTCCCGGCTGTTGCACCACCAGGCACGTGGACACACCCGTAATCACATATCCGTGTGCAGACAGCTCCGCGAGCGCGTGTGCTGTGCCTGCCGCCCGGGTTGCTCTCGAGGCGAAACAGCCGTCTTATTTAAATGTTCTTTTAGGGACGGACAGTACGAAGCACCGAGCTTCCAAAACCCAGCACAGACGTTGTTGCCGTCTTTCACACTTTACTCCTAAGATGTGTCTTATTTTCTGCAGCTCTTTTTCATTTTTCTTTTTTTTTAAAAGAAGAAAACTCGTATGAGTTGACGTTCTGTTCCGAAAGGACGGGGGCGGATCGGGGCAGCCTCGGCAGCGATGCTGAGACCCCGGGGGCCGGTGGCGCTGGGCACGTGTGGTCTGCACGTGGCCGTCCACCCTCCCGCCTGTAGGGCGGCCCTACCCCTGCCCTTGCTCCCTGCCTGAAGACGGCGGGCAGCTGAGGACCGCTTTTGTGCGTAAACCTACCTGTCCAGCTCTCACAGGAGGTTTTGATGTCAAGTCCTCTGTCCCCTCACCAGGTCCTGGCTGCCATGGGGGGTCGGCGGGGAGGCCACCTTCCAGGCTCGGGGGGGTCCCTTTTCTGGTCTGCCCGGCTCTGCCTAGCTCCTCTCGACCGTGTCCTCAGGGATGCAGAGGGAGCCGCCCCAGCCCAGCACCCCCGGCGCTGAGGTTTCGCCACAGGCCCAGGCGAAGACCCCACGCGTTTCTCTCTTGCGATACTTGAAGTCTTGCCTCTGTGCTTCGACCCAGAAGAAACGCAGCCCTGGGACTCATTTCTGTTTCCCCACCGGTGGCCTGCGCTTCTCCTGCGCAGAAAATGTCCGTATTTATTGCTTTACGGTTGGCTGGAACCGGGGCCTCTGGGGGGCCGGCGCCGTGGGAGGGGCTCTGTCCGCAGGCGACCTCCGGGCTGTGGGGTGAGCACCGCCCACCCAGCCTGTCCTCCACAGCCCAGCTCTCCGCCCTTGGTCTAAAACGCAGCCCTGGGACTCATTTCTGTTTCCCCACCGGTGGCCTGCGCTTCTCCTGCGCAGAAAATGTCCGTATTTATTGCTTTACGGTTGGCTGGAACCGGGGCCTCTGGGGGGCCGGCGCCGTGGGAGGGGCTCTGTCCGCAGGCGACCTCCGGGCTGTGGGGGGAGCACCGCCCACCCAGCCTGTCCTCCACAGCCCAGCTCTCCGCCCTTGGTCTACCTTACAAGACGTTTGTGTCACCCGCCCCCCACCCCCACCCCCACCCCTGGCGTTAAGTTGTGTAACATCAGTTTAAGGAAATAAACCTCTGGAGTTGTTGGGCTGCTGTTACTGATGGTTTGTCACGGCCTACCCTTCTCCCGTCACCTCCTTTCTCGGACTACACGCCCCGCCCCCACATGTCCTGCAGCAGCAGCTGGAGTTTGGAGGTCAGGTTCGGGGCAAGGCTGGGAGCTCAGTCCTCCAGGGGTTCACCGGGTGCCAGGCCTTGACAGCAGCCACTTCACTTCCGTCCCCACCCACGGCGCAGGAGGGTCCCCCGCTCCACCTCTGGGTGGGTGTGAGGGGCTATGGTTTTGATGTGCATGCCCCCGACGGTTAGTGACCTCAAGTATCTCTTCATGTGTTTGTCAGCAATTTCTAGATCATTTTTGGAGAAATATCCATTCATGTCCTTTGCTCGTGTTTGAATCGGATGCTTTCTCTTTTTGTTGTTGAGTGGTAAGGTTTCCATTTTTTAGACTATGTGTCGTTTTTTTGTTTTTAAGTTTATTTTTTTTATAAGTTTATTTTTATTTTTCTGGCTGCGTCGGGTCTTCGTTGCTGTGCGCGGGCTTTCTCTAGTTGCGGCGAGCAGGGGCTACTCTTCATTGCAGTGCGCGGGCTTCTCATTGCGGTGGCTTCTCTTGTGGAGCACAGGCTCTAGGCTCTCAGGGTCAGTAGTTGTGGCACGCGTGCTCAGTACTTGTGGCTTGCGGGCTCTAGAGCACAGGCTCAGTACTTGTGGCTCACGGGCTCTAGAGCGCACGCTCAGTAGTTGTGGCGCACTGGCTTAGTTGCTCCGCGGCATGCGGGATCTTCCCGGACCGGGGCTCAAACCTGTGTCCCCTGCCTTGGCAGGCGGATTCTCAACCACTGCGCCACCAGAGAAGCCCTACATATTGTTTTAATAGGCTAAAAGTATCTCATTAAGTTACCAAAAAGGCTAACCGCAATGTGAAACGAAAGTTCGCGGAGGGGTAGTGATAGAGGAAGTGGAAGGTGGGGCCTCAAAAGGCTAGGTCCCGGCAGGGCTGCTCCAGTCTGGCTTCCTGGAGTGCGTGCTCCGGGCTCTGCAGGCAGGAAGGGCTGTGCCTGGTGGAGATGCAGCCCCTTCCGCTCTGTGGGGCTCCCGGTATGTTGCACAAAGAAATGCCGAAAGAGGATTAAGACAACCATGGCATTTTGTTGTCAAATTAATAGACTTCATTTTTTACAGCGGTTTTAGGTTTACAGAAAAATTGTGCAGAAAGTACAGAGAGTTCCCAAATACTCCCTCTCCCCCTGCCACCCACTTTACTTCTGTTAACACCTTGCATGGGTGGGATTCATCTGCTACAACGGATAAACCTACACTGACACGCCAGCATCAGCCAGAGTCCATGTTTACGTTGTGATTCGCTCTTGGTGCCTGTGCTGTGGGTTTGGACACACATATGCTGACCTGTACCATTTCAGTGTCAGGCAGAGTAGTTTCACTGCCCTGAATGTCCTCTGTGCTCTGTGTTCATTCCCCTGACTTTAACCCGTCCCTTTACTGTCTCCGTAGTTTCACCTCTTCCACAATATGCTGGAATCACACAGTGTAGCCTTTGCAGATTGACCTCTTCTGGGTCTTTCCATGGCTTGATGGCTCATTTCTTTTCAATGCTGAATGATACTCCCCTGTCTGGGGGTACTGAGCTTATTTATCCATTTTCCTACTGAAGGATATCCTCTTGCTCCCCAGTCTTGGTATTTATGGGTAAAGCTGCTGTAAACACCCTGTGTAGGAGCCTGACAGTAAGGAGGGCCCAGGAGGGCTGGCTGGGCCGGGGGTGCAGCGGGCACATGGGAGGGACCGGCTCCCCACTTCCTGCAGAGCTCACGTTGCCCTGCACGCTCCTGGCACGCTCACGGGGGGCCTTCGGCCAGGAGGCCTGGCTCAGGTGCCTGCCCCACTTCTAACTGCCCCCCGGGCACCTGTGCCAGCCTCACAGGCCTCGGTTTGTTCTCCGTAGATCAGAGATGTGGGATCGGGGCTGCTGGGTCCGGCTCGGTGCCACCGTGGCCAGTTTGCAGGGAGGCCCCTCGGTGGCCTTTTCCTTTCATTCTCTCACCTGACACAGGACCTCAGAGCACGGCCCCAAGCTTCCATCCTCCCCACCTGCTGGCCCGCGGTACAGCCTGGGGTCTTGGGCCTGCCCCGGAGACTGCCCTCACCCGGCCTGGGTTTCGGTTCAAGCACCGGGAGCTTCCTGGTTCACACGGGCAGGGGGAGATGGACTGCTTCCCGGGGCACAACCCCAAGTCCCATCATCCAGTCTCAACTGCCTTCCTCGGCGGCTCTAGTTCCAGCCGTCACAGTTGCCCAGGTCGTGCACTTACACGGATGGTTCAGCCTGGGCCCCGTGTCCACCTCCATGTGCCAGAGCGGACCCAGGCCTACAGAGCTGCAGAGGCCGAGGGCGGGGGAGGAGTGTCCCCCGACAAAGGAGTCTCTATGGTAAGGGGTGCTCTGTGATGGTAGGTACTATGTGACGGGGTTCTCTGGGTGAAGGTAGGGTGCTCTGTTGTGGGGTGCTCTGTGTGATGGTGGGTGCTCTGTGTGAAGGTGCCCCGATGCTTCCTAAGGCTGCTCAGCCACCTGAGTTCCCCAGACCACACATGACCTTGACCTTTCCTCATGCCTGGAACCCTGGGGCAGCTCTTTCTTCCCTTCCTCAGAGGGGTGGGCTGTCCTGGGGGATTGTTCAGCACAGGTGAGCTGTGCCCTCCCGCCTGCCTGAGCTCTTTTCCAACTAGGCCCGACTTTTCCAACTAGGAGGCTGAGTAGAATTTGGTCCAGGAGAGAATCCTTGTCAGCAGCCACTGATCCACTTTCTTTCTTGTGGATTCGCTTGTTCTGGACATTTCATATACAGGTGACCTGTGAGCAATGTGGTGGTTAGGGGCACAGACCCCCCCCCCCTCCCCCACGCAGTCGAAAATCCACATATAACTTGACAGCTGGCTCTCCGTGTCCGTGGTTACGCATCCGTGGATTCAGCCACTGGCAGACTTAGCAGTCCTGCACTTTGTATTTAGTGAAACAAATTCTGTAGAGGTGGAGCTGTGCGTTCAACCCTGCATTGCTCAAGGGTCAGCTGTGCGTGGAATCATACACGCACGACGTGCCCTTCTGCGCCTGGCTTCTCCACTGAATGTGTTTTCAAGGTTCACCCCCAGCCATAGCATACGTCAGTACTTCTGAGTCGTCTTCACACAGCGTTTAACACTTGATCACACACTGTCTTGCTGTTGGTCTGTCATTGTCTGTCCCCACTAGAGTGGAAGCTTCCCGAGGGCACGGGTTCTGCTCCTAGTCTGTTCGCAGCCTCTGCAGGCGCTGGGAAGCTAGTAGGTGCTCGGAAAATAGCTACTGACCGAGTGGCCGTCTCAGGGAGGTCTGAGTCCCGTGCCGCCAGCCGCACTTCCTTCCACCTTCTGCGGGCTGTCGCTCGCTCCCGCCAGCTGTGGTGACATCTGTGCCGCCTCCCAAACCCCATGTGTGGACGAGTTTCCCATCTGTCTTCTACCAGCTTCCAGGAGGTCCTCACTCCCTGGAGCTCTCACAGAGGCAGCTCCAGCATGCCAGTCTCTCCCTGGCATTTTGGGCCCCTCTCCGTGCCTCAGCTTCCTCATCTGTAAAATGGGGACGAGAGAACCTTCCTCAAGGCTTCATGAGGATTGAATAAGCTAACAGGCATCAAGCCACTAGAGCAGCACCTGGCACTGGCACATGGCAAGTGTTTTCTTATGAGAGGTTTGTGGGAAGGCGCTGGTCTGCACACTGTTGAAAGACAGGCTGTCATTCCAGATGCCGGGACTGGTGCTGTGTGGCTTCCGGCCATGGGCTCAGCCTCTCTGTCCCTCGGGTTCCTCTTCAGGAACGTGCTTGCTCTTACGGTGCTTGTTCCCTAAGGCGGGCGAAAGGACTGAATGAGCTAACACTTGTAACACGGAACAGAGCCTGGAAGCGTAGTTGTTAGGACGATTTGTTCGCCCTAAGAGGGCGCATCCACATCGGCCTCAAACCACCCCTGAGTTGGCAGCGGGGAACCGGGCTCCCGGCGCCAGGCCCCGCCCTCCCCGCCCCGAAGCCCCGCTCAGTCCCGCCCCTGACACCAAGCGCCGCCCCAAGCCGCCTCGGCCCGCCTCGCCCAGAAGTACTTTTGTCCACGTCCGGCTGCCGTCCGGCCGCGCGCTCCGCTTCCGCCTTCGCCCACGTGGTCCGGCTCCGGCTCAGTCCGCCGCTCCGTGAGTGGGGCCGGGTCGGGGCGCGCCCCACTAGTCCCGGCGGGGGTGGCCGGGGTCTCCCCGATTCCCGAGGGAGAGCCGGCTGGGCGAGGCGAGAGGACGAGGGGGGGGAGCAGGAGGGACTGGGGAGGTCAGAGGTCAGCCTGGGGGTCAGGGACGACTTAGGTTATCCGCGGGCGGGGCTGGAGCGTGAGAGGGTCCCGGGAAGGTTAGAGTTCTCAAGGGGTGAGGCTGGAGCGTGGCCGTGGTCGGAGTTAAGGAGGGGCGGGCTGGTGTGTAGGGGCCCCGGGGAGGTTAGGGGTCTAGAGGACCCGGGTGGGTGCGTACCGGGGGAGGTCAGGGGTCGGGCGCGTGCCCCCCCGCCCCTCCCGGGCCTGCATGGGGCTCCCCAGCCTGCGGGCGGCGGCCTGGGCCCTGAGGAGAGCCTGCGGACCGTGGACCCCGCGCCTGGGACCGCGCCTCCTCTGGTAATGACAGTGCACTTGTCCGTGACCCCAGGGTAGCACGCTGACCCCCACTGAGCCCGACTGCATGCCCGGCGAGCACCAGCCCTCATCGCATAAAGTGCTGTCACTGCTCCATTTCTTGGACAGTGAAACCGAGGCCAAGTTGGTGGTTGGGCAGGGTCTACAGTTAGCGCCCAGCTGGGATTTGGACTCGGTGGTCAGCCCAGGGCGTTTACTGGACCATATGCTGCCGCCGTCAGTCTCTCACTGGGCCGCTTCCTTCTGTGTTTTGCTCACACACACCCCCTCGCCACCGTGTCTTTTCAGTTTGCCCCCCATGGCAGGGAATGGGGAGGCCCCCGTGCCCGTGGGGACCAAGCAGGAGCAGGACAGGAAGGCCCGGCGTGGCTGGCAGGGCACGGCCAGGATCTGGGAGGAAACAGAGCAGCAGGCGAAAAGGCTGAAGAGCAGCGAGGGTGGAGGGCAGCACAGGAAGCTGCCCAAGCGGAAGGTCGTGCTGCTCGTGGCCTATTCCGGGAAGGGCTACCACGGCATGCAGGTGAGGGCGCCTGCGGGCTGGGCCGGTGTGCTTGGGGCAGGGACCTCGGAACGACAGTTACGCAGTGAGCCATCTTGGGAAGTGGCAGAAAGAGGGGTCTCGTTCTTCACCTCCTTTATCGTGTGGGTCCCATCAGGCAAGATTTAGATTCAGATTGAAGCAGCTTTGAGCCCCGTTTCATCCATGCATTGCTTGGATGCTTGCCGGAA